TGGTTTTCCTTCTGCAACCAACTGCTAGAAACAGCAAACCAGCAAGCAGGCATACCATTGAGAAGGTCAAAACCAAAGCAAGCTTTAGTCCCTTTTGCTGCCTAGCCTTATTGGATCGTAGCTCTAAAAAGGTCTGGTTTTGCTGCAATGGGACAGCTGTTTGTTGAACCAAAGAAAGATGCTTGGAGGGTTGCTTTGGAAATTTCAGAAGCACAAAGTGTCAAGTTATTGTAAGAGAAGTTGAACCTCTCCATCCAAGGGAGTTTCCCCAAGAGCGATGCAGGGATCTCTCCGCTTAAATTGTTGTTAGAAACATCAAAAACTTGGAGATTTCTCAAACTCAGCAATGGGATTCTGCCTATGAGATGGTTTTCAGAAAGATCAAGTGTGTTCAAGTTACTCAGCTGGGAAATTTCAGCAGGAATACGACCGGTAAGACTAGTTTTCGACAAGTTCAGGTACTCCAAACCCGAAAAAGTTTTCACATTTCTCCGGAATTCCTGCCTTGTAAAATTATTGTGGGCTAGATTAAGGTGTTTGAGATTCTGGGATTGAATCCAATCAAGTAAAATTTCTCCACCAAGCTGATTCTCAGACAAATCTAAATAAACCAAACGAGACCAATTGTAGCTAGCATTGAATTGTACCTTTGAAACGTGGCCTTCAAACCGATTCCTGCTCAGGTCTGCCACCTCCAGCAGCTCCTTAAACACTCCCATCACTGAACCCTGAAACACATTTCCTGAAATGTTCAGAGAAGTAATGGAATTCATCTCCGAAAAATCGGAGTCCCGGCCTTGAATCCCATTCCCAGCAAGGTTCAATACTTGGAGCTTAGGCAATGCAGCACCAAATCCATCTGGAAGAGAACCGTTTAAGCGATTCGACGAAAGGTCAATCCAAACCAGAGACTGACAACTCAAAATTCCTGATGGGATGCTCTTCTCAAACGAATTTCCATTGAGCTTAAGAACTCGCAGACTGGCAAGTGAGCTTATATCTGCAGGAATCTCACCAGAGAAATTGTTGTTGGAAACGTCGAGGGTTTCGAGCAGACCGAAGTTGCCAACGTTGTTAGGCAACGACCCGGAAATCCGGTTGTTGGAGAGAATAAGATGCTTGAGAGAACCTAGGCTCCACAAATCCGAAGGCAGACTGGTGATTTTGTTACTGCTAAGGTTTAAAGATTGGAGCTTTGAGAGCTTTCCGATGGTTGTGTCCGGAATCGGACCGGAGAGCTCCAAACCGGAAGCCTCAAATCCGATAACATTGTTGGATTCACAGAAAACTCCTTTCCACGAGCAAACAGGTGCAGAAAAGTTGTAGAGATTGGAAGAAGAAGATGAGGAAAAAGAACCCAATTTTTTCAAAAACTCAGAGACAAAGAACCCATCTGTGTTGGGCTGTTGGGAAGCTAATGGATTCAAAAGCAGGGAAAAAACTAATAGAGAAGCAAAGAAAATATAACCCATTTGGAAAAGTAGTGCAGCAGCGAAAAGGGTGTGAGAAAGTTTAAACCCTTCTTTCTCTCTCTATCACTTTCCCACTCTAGAACTTCAGAAGCAGCATTGCAGTAACATAAATGGTTCTGGGTCCATCTCAGAAGCACTTGCTTGGGGAATCTGCAGCTCCATTAAATCCACTGCACAGTGTAAAAGAGTGGGTTTTGGGTTTTGAAGAAGAGAAGATTGTTAGGCTAAAACTCCCAAAAAAAAAAAAACCAAGAACTTACATGCAGGATTTTGTTGGGTTTGCGGTCCTTGTTATCCTCCTAAGAAAATCCCCACAAAAGCACTGGGAAAATAAGCCAATGGGTGAAGCAGCACATGCAAATAACAAACTTATTGGGTTCTCAAAGAGTTGACGGTTTTCTGGGGTCTGGAGAGTGGGGGAATGTGAGCTCACCTTTGGTGGTTTTGCAGGTCCATGACCATGAAATCCTGCAGAAACAAACAACAAAAAAAGGAAGCAATTTTGTCTGTATGTGTGGAGAAGTAGAATATGTGAGCAGCAGGAGAGGAGGAGGAGGAGGAGGAGGAGGAGAAGGCTCTAGTTTTTGCTGCATATATTTCGTTTAAAACAAACAAACAAAGGAGGCTGTCATGTGATTTTAAACGAACTGAAAACAAGGACACCGTGAGGAGAGAGGGAGGGAGAGGGAGGGGAAGGAGGGTATATTGGGAATGAGAGATTTTTCAATGTGTCCGGAACATAGAGCGCAATATCGCATGTTATTGTATAATTGGAGACACGCTAGAAAGAAATAAAAAAATAATTCCTTCAATTGTACAATGATACGTGGCGTTCTACTATGTGTTCTGGACACACTAAAAAATCTATTAGTGGGAAAGAAGAAGGGGTAGACAGGAGTTTTAATGGAGGGAATTAAATATCTAGTATTTGGGTTGTGATGACAACTTTATGTTGGTGGGAATTCAGTGATGTTCTTCATGGAGTGTTGTTTTTTTTTTCATCATTCATTCTTCTTCTCTAATTAAAAGTTGGTTGATATCTTTATTTGATTGAATTCCAATTAGAAATTGGCAATTTGCTACTATAGAAGCTAATCACCATCTTTTAATAGTGTTCTGATTAGAATACTGCCAATTAATAGTGTATTATGTAGTGTTCTTATGCACTATGTGGTAATTATTTGTTTCTACACATAAAAACTTGAGTAGAAGTGTTCGATTACATTATTCGTAGAATAATTTTTACAAAAATACGAACACATGTATTTTGCCTTATTCGGTCTTATACCGGTTTTACTTTTAATAGCGTATAGACGTTAGTTTTTCATTTTGAAAAGTATCAATCTTTTGAAAACAAAATTTTTTGTTTTTGTTTTTAATCAAATTAGAACGGACAGTGCTAGTGCTATTCCCACACTTGTTTTTACTTGTTACATTACATTGTTAATTTTTTTGTCATCGATCTTCTTGAAATCATTCAATCTGAAGATCGAAAATTATAAAAAATATGTGATAAGTGAAAACAGATATGTGTATAACATTATCCACGAGAAATTATGACCCTTTCCCCAACTTTCCGTAAAGCATGATGGACAATCAGTTCATACAACTTTTCCTTTGACATTTAAATGTATTGATTTTCACTTTAAATAACTTAAATATGAACTCATGATTTGCCCTTAAACAATGCTACAAGTTGATCAAATGAAGGGAAGTATGTAATTTTTAGAGTAAAATTCTCTTCTCTCATATTCTCTCTTTTTCTCTCTCTTCCTCTTACATTTTGATTTTTATCTTTTTGTTTCTATTGAAAAAATCAACACAACGTGACTTAATCATAACCGTTCACATAAAAAAATAAAAAATAAAAAAAGACGTAAATTATAAGAGAAGAGAATCATACTCCGTAATTTGGTGGCGGATGGGGAGTGGGGGCGGGGGCGGTGTTAGGCGGAATATATTTCAATGGATTAGCTAGAAATGGTTGGTGTGATGTAGCGTTTTGTTGACTTAAACATATGCACTTCAAAAAGGTTATCCCAATGAGATTATGAGCCCCACTCATTTCACTTAAACAAGTGATTTACCCCCTAAACCATCATCACCATTAATTATACTTAATGGTGGGTCTAGTCTCTTAGTAAGATTCAAGGGACTATGATCACTCCCGTCAAGAATCAACCATCTCAACTGTTTATTTGGAGAGAACTTTAAACACCATACTGTAGCGATATTCTAAATTAATAAGCGACTTATTATGTTTTAACCTTCACATATTTTAGCCGGTACTGACTTAGAATATTGAAATAGTGGCGTACCGGTATAAGTAAGTCTCTCTCGTTCAATTAGGGGTGGGTTAATCACATGATTAGAGTTAAAAAAACAGCTGTAATGGTGTTGATGATTGAGTAAACTAATCCGTGTCTTGTTTCTCTGTATATTTCGTTCCTTTGAGGATTTGGCTTGGGGTGTGACTGAATAATGAAAGTTAATAGAATATAATTAATGTTGTCATGCTGATTTAGACACCTTTGCATCGATCAAACTCAAAGCACATGAGGGCTTTGACAAGTTTAGACGACGACCCTTGTCCTAGTGGAGAAAGAAAACAACAAATCAAATTAAGTAATTATGTAGGTACGTGTTTGCACATGGGAAAATGCCCACTTTGTCAAAATCTTAGACGATATCGCTTGTGATTGTATTTGATAGAGAATTTTATGAGTGCTTTTGGATGCATACGGTGTTATCTTCACTAAAGGGTGAAAGATTCAACTATGACTCGCATGATCTATCCATAATAGTTTGGTCCAAAATCGTTTTTGACGAGAATTGAATATAAGATCTCTCACTTACAAATGAAGAGAAATATCAATAGACCGCTGTGCTAAAAGCATCTCCAATCGGAGATCTATATTGAGTTGTATAGAGATGGAGATTCTCCAAGTGATCAGCATTAGCGTTGTTGTGAAAAAGACACTTGCTCCATGAAGCATTTACGAACTTAAGTGTTTTCTTTACCGACATTTCAAATCCGCCCGTAAGATTGATAAAACGGCCTTGTATAGAAAGTGAGAGTTGAGCAGATCGGGAGCACGCCAAGACCCGACAAGAAAGAAAATGGAGGAAGATTGCATCAAGTCGTAATAATTTGCACTGATTGAGGGGGTATTAAGGTGAGGAGTAATAAAAAATCCACCGACACACACAAGGACTAACGATAATTGAAACGACCAACCCCCCATAACATTTGGTTTCATGACCTTGCCAATTTGCCAGCTTGCAGACATACTCCTCGGACAATAATGCTCTGTCACTGTAGTGTTGCTTCTCCACGAAGCCGCGAGGGCATAGCGTGAGTTGGCAAAATCTCGGGTGTAACTGGAGGTATTTTCCTCTCTCTGACTTTCTCATCAAGAGAGAGAGAGAGAGAGGAAGATATACCCCCGTTACACGCTTAGAAACTCTCCTAAGAGTTGCACCCATGCAAAGTATAGAGATGTCATCGAAATATTACGATGATCACTGAAAGATGAAAAATTTAAGATCTTATAAAGTACCCAGAATTCCATACATCACAATAGAACACAACCCTCAAAAGTTATACTGATTGATTATAGGCAACCAAAAATAGATTTATAGCAAAACAAAAAGCTTAGTGTATCTCGGAAAGACCGAAAACACGTAATCCTTCAGCTAATACAATTATCCGTCCATGATAAATTCTCCCCACAGCAGTAAGATACAGTTCACCTGCTCTGAGCTCTCTTCCTCTCCGCTCCAAACGCAACACAAATAATCGCCCCGTATTACAATTTCTCTCAACATCTACAGCAAACCATCAATCTGTCCATACAAGTTTGACTTATTCTGTCATATCCGGAGGGGGTGATTTCCAGAACCATACCTGTCTGGCTTTGTCTTTTTCATCTGCGATCTCTGGGTTGCAATCTTTTGGAATGGATTTGGTCCGCCAAATGTTTCTTTGGGTTGCCTTACCTTCTTTCTCTTTCCGCGATCATATTCTTCATCCCTGCATCAATTAAACATTCCACAACTTGTCAGAAGATTTTATATGTAATGCGTTAACTGGTGAAAATTCATGCTGATCTAAACTAATGTGATATGCAAGGGATTCCAAACTCACCATTCGTCAGGTATATAACCAATGCTGACACTCTTTGCACAGCTTGATTCTACAATACGAGGAGGAGGCAATTCTATTCCGTCCCAACGTGCAACTGCAACCAACATATTTTTTTGAGAGATGCAATCAGGAAATTATAACCACAATAACATTAGGTAACATCAGTTTCAATGGGCTTCTTGTTCATATTTTCTAAAAGACAGAAGAAAGAACAAACAAAACAAAAAAGTAATAAAGGTTTATCCAGCATTCGAAACTAACAGATCAATTGGGTAGAAGTGAAGCTCAACTTGCCAATCAGCATAGATATAAATGCAGAAGGCATTGCAATTGTAATGGCAACACATGAATGACTACATAACCGCATGGAATATATGCAAATACTACAAAACTACCAGCAACCATGGATATATATGGTCAGGAGGGCAGAGTCCTAGATAATACACTCACCCATTGTCTCGTCAAGACCTCGGGTCAGCACACCAATCCCTCCATTTTGCATTCTGTCTCTTTTACAATTGTGTGGGGTATCATTTTCCCCGGTCTCCCGCAGATTTTCTTTTGAGCAAGAGCTAGAGACATTACCAATTTGTAGTCTTTTATCACTTGCAAGCACTGTACCATTCTGACCAACACTTTCTCTAAACTCACCCTTATTGGCAGCCATTAAAGAATGACCATGAGATTTCATTTCCTGCTTTTTATCAGTTCCATCTGCATCCTTTTTTAAGCCAGATTTGGCCCCCTTCCTCTTAGACTTTTGCTTAGGAGTAGAAACCAAGGGAATTGACTGGGTTTGCTCAGATGTAGACGGCCCCATATCAGATAAGCAAGAATTGTCCAATACGTGTTTCTTAAGAAGGCTACTGGTATCTGAAGATGGGTGCTTACTCCTTTTGTGTTTTTTCTTCTTCTGTACGCTTAAGACCACCCGGGAAAGTAAGCTAGGTCGTAACTGCATGGATGCAACCTTAGACTTCAGCTGCTTCTTTTTCAATTTTCTATGGCGTTTGCAATCAGAAGATTTCACAAGCAACGATCCATATGTCACAATTAATGAGGAGCCAGACAATTTTGCTGACTCATCAATTAGTACTTTTTGGCCTGAATCACTAGTCTTCTCACCCAAAACATTACAAGCAGCACTTCCATTGGTAAAACTTCCAACCTAAAATATAAAATAAGTTAAATCATGACAACACAACCTATCATAAAATGCATAAAAAATACAAAAAAAAAAAAAAAAATACCTGACTAATTTTAGAGCTTGGTTGATCTGATGATTTTACAGTGTGAATTCCCTCCTTTTCATACCGCTAGGAACTCCGCATGACGTACTCAAGTCTCCCTTAGAGGATACAAGATTCTTCTAGATGCATAAACAAGTTAAAAACTCAAGCACCAAACAAAAGTAAAATATCAAGTAGGTAAAACTAGAGACATCAAAGCGTATAGAAGATATGTTGCATCCACTTACATTATGAGGGGTCTCATCTAGTATGGGTTTAGCAGCCTCAAGGCTTTCAGGGTCCTTGACATTGGGTGCTATGACACTGGAAACACCACTGTTTTCAACTGACCTTCCTCTCCCATTAAGGTCAGTTTTATTGCCATCAGCTTTTGCAGCTGTGGCATTTTCAGGATCCGAAGTGCCACCATTTCTAGTTGGAGGTGATGGTAGCATGTCTTTTCCCAATATGGGAATTGGAATGGAAATCCCTTTCAATGAATCCTTTCGTAATGATGAAGAAGAATCTAAAACAGGTTCCTTCACACACACCATATTTTCTGCCGCATTTTTAGATTCAGAAGCACCACCACTGCTGCGGCTTGGAATGGAAAACCCTTTCAGCAAGTCTTTTGATAAAGATGGAGAAGACTCCGAAACAGGTTCCTTCATAGGCACCATATTTCCTGCCACTATCTGGCAATTAGTTGATGCTTCCTTCAAAAGGGGCACCATAGGTGGAACTATAGTTGATTTTTGTGTCATAACGATAGATGAGGATGGACCACTTGATCTGCCCTCAACAGAAACATTCTGAACCGGTCCTTTGAAGCCTTGGTTGTTAGTGCAACGAGTTTTTAATCCAGCACCATTTGCATTGAAATTCTCCTTTCGAGCAACTTCAACAGGCTTCCTTGGTATTATATTTCTTCTATCGCGGACATAAAACAACATGTAAGCCTTCTGTTCTAAAACAATCCTCTCACTAACTTGGTATACCTGTTGCATCATAGTTGTGCAAACTTGTAAGAAACCTTGATTACTTTTTTCATTTCATATGCAATTTAAAGATTGTGGATTTACTGTTGCCCTGTCCCTCAAATATGGTACTAGCATTTCTTTCTCATATATCAAGTATACCCATCCAATCGGAGTCATTCAAAGATAAAAACTCAGTACATCTTTGGACAAGGGACTTATAAAAGGGACTTGCAATCCCATTTGAAAAGTGGTTGGGAACCATAGAAAGGGAATATGTCAATTTCTGGGGGAACACCAGACCAAGGTTCAGGACCCAAGACCCTGGGCCAAGGTCACAGGCCAAACATGTTGTATAAGTTCTTTAAATGAATCCTACCACACTTGATTGCTTAACCAAACAAGTAAGTTTGGGGATCAATCTCATCTTTCCAAAATCCCACCATTTTTATCCTTTGTTACTTCTAATAACTCGTCCAAAGGGAAACTTTCAGCAGCAAATGATCATAATCAGTTTGTTGACATGGCACATCTAAGATCCATAAAGTTGGGTTACACTGACTTGGACAATCCAAATTGTTAAGTATTATGAGGAACAGTGATATCTAAATTATCAACTCACCTGGTTGTCATCAAGAGAGTACCACATGCCACTTGATGTGCGAACATAGCAATAATAATGGCCAGAATAGGTGGTAGCCCCACAATGAACAAGAACCCCATAGAGAGTATATTTCAAATCCCCTTCCTGCCAAGTAGAATGTAAAACAGGATTAGAATACAAAACCATGATGTGAATGGCACAAAACATAATCAAATCAGCAACATATGACTTTTGTCTTCCTTGAATGTGTTGCCCCAGTCATAAACCTAATGGTCCAGATTCTAATTCCAAATTTAACCTTTTTCAGCAAAAAGGACCAAAATTAAGATACAGTTTTCAACAAATATTGGGCAAGATTACGAAATATGAAATAAAATCAAGTAAACAGAATCAGTGACTTGCACATCAAATGCCACAATGTTTCTTTTAAATTGGTTCATTTGTAAAATGAAGAAAAAATTTAGAAGTAAAGCTTGCATGGCTAAAAATGCTTGAATACTTACGTAGGAACCACTAACAAATGGCTTCAAATCCAATGTAGGGCCAAATTTTACATGTCTGTCAATTTTTCGTCCAGGATCATGTGCACGAAATCGCTTCAAATGGATGGTAAGTACATAAGGAGGCTTTTGAACAGTCATCTGTTTGAGAGCCTGAACTTTCTGATTGCATCGTTGGCACTGATATTGCCTTTCCCCTCCATCTAACTGTTCTGAGGCAGTAAATTTTGCAAGTGCTTTTTGCAAGGAATCTGCGTTGAATATTTCAAGACTTAAATCTAAGAATGGGTCAAACTTGTTGGAGCAATAGGAGCACTGCAAACATTTGACCTGAATAGATAACAACAAATCGGATTACGAAATATCAAGAAAATACTTAAAATCCTTACCTGTTTACCCAAAAAAATAAACTCCCATTCACTACAGTATCTCAAAAACCACAAAGTCTACCATTACAATTTTTACCTGGCTTCGAAGGCGACCGCCAAAAATCTTGTGTACCAAGCTCTTCTCGTAGGCACTTGGGGATTCGCTTGGCACACCAGAAGGTAAACAGCATTTATGCATGGATTCCAGCAAGTTTACCATGTATTCATGTGCATCCTCCTGTCTAGACTTGGTGAAAGTTCGAGATATGCCTTATCATTTGTCAAGGATTCCAACTTCAAGCATAGAAACAACAAAAATAGACCCAATACAACACTTATAAACTGACCCTGATCTTAACCTTATGAAAATGCAAAATTGGAATGGTGAAGACAAGAAACTTCTTGATGAACACTCCCTTACACTTGCTCCAATCAGATCATTTGGGTATTAGTTATCCCCCTAAGAAATTTTTTTTTAATGCTTATTAAAAATCAACTTTGACTGTAAACTATAAAAATAGAAAAAATTCATTCATAGAAGAATTTTAAAAAAAAATTGAATATTTTATTTTTCTTCTTTATTGACACACTTGGTTGTCGAGCATGTTGAATAAATAAGAACTCCATCAACAAAAGAGAACGTTCTCTGGACAAACATGGGAGTCCAATGAGTACGTCCAACTATATATGGCAGAAATATATCACCACAAAACATTTCAAGGATACATCGTAAGTTAATGACTAGATCCTTTGGAACCAAAATTCTCCCGGTTGATTGTAGAGCAAGACTAACGTGCTTCTGGATGGCACATAAAGCACAAAACCCAGCAATATGGCCTGTAAAAACAAAATCAAACAAATTAGCCATGCACATAAATTCAACATTCTTCACACATGCACATGTAAGCACATATGAGCGCAGGCTTACCCCAACTTTACAAATGGAATATTATGACACTTTTTTTGTTTATGTTAATTCCTTCCATGCAAACACACAGACACAAATATGTGACATTTTTTTGTCCATGTTAACTTGTTGCAAACACATCCAAACTAAGGGCAAGTCTAGGGTTTTCAGAGGAGTCCTTACATGAATTTTGATGCTTTCCACTTTGCAAGTATGCAGCTAAAGGCTCAGTATATGTCAGACACTGCAACACTGAATTGAGATAACAAGTGTTCCCCATATTCCTCAAACCGGCACCCTGAAAATTACACAAACCATTTTCACTGTCAAGCAACTAGGACCCAAAAGAATATTCGGAGACCAACCAAATGCAGCAACAGTACTACCACCAAAACATCACATAACAGAATATTGACTATGAAACAATTGAAATAAAAACAAATTCAACCGAAAATCGATTTGACATTAGAAGCCAAGCAAGAAAACTCTGAATTCATCTAAACAAAACATATAACAAGGCCGAATCGAAAAATGCGAAATGATTCCATTTAACTAAGCAAAAGAAAGAAACATCATCACGACCAACCAAAACCATAAGTAATAGTGAATCGAAGTTAGAGAAGAAAGCGATCAAAGGCAACACTTTGACTCACAATTCTCCGGAAGGTGATGCCAAAGCTGAGCTCCGGATCCAACCCGTTCTCCAAAAACTCGGACCGATCCGTTTTCTTAGCACTCAAACTCGACTGACCCTGATTAGAGCTGCTACCGCCGTTGTTGCTGCTTCCAGGGTTCAAGGTCTCGAGCCTAAAGTCACCGCCACCGGTGTTAAGGCCATTGCAGGGCTTCCTCGCTCGGTGGAACTCGATACGCCTCTGAAGAGGATTCGCCCCGGTTTTCGATTCGGGCATTAAATCCGCAAAGCCCTCCGACTGGATTTGGAGCTCCGCCGTTTGCACCAAAGCGTCGGCCATTCCCGAAGCCCAAAAAGTTGCGATTTTGCAGAGAAAGTTTCGATTTTTGTTCTACGCGTATTGAATTTCTCTCTCTGGAATTAGAAATTAGGGTTCTAATAGCGGAAATATTTGTGGGGATTTGGGAGAAGCAGAGAGCTTTTTGAAGGCTTCTGCGACAGAGAAGAGGCGATAGAGGTAGTATTAAACCCTACACAGGACACCCCAAGATTTTTGGTTCCAGATGGGCGCGGCCTACACCGACCAACGGTGGAGATGTAGTTGATTTTTCCACGTGTCGCGATCTGGTACAAGTTGGAATTTTTGATCAGGACGTATGAAAAAACAAGGAAAATGTCTAGTCGGAGATGCTTCATCAAGGTTTGACGACATGATTTTATTCTTCTTTTGGGTTTCACATTGAGACCGGATTCTCATTGTGAGAATTTTGAATATTCTCAAATTGTGTCTATTTATTAGACATTTACAGTCAGAATTTATTTAAAGTTAAATATGAATAGTATCTGATAAAAATTGACCGCATAATGTACGATGACATAATTTGAAAATCTCCAGAATCCTCACAAAGAGGACCCTCGTTCTCACTGTTATACCTCGTTCATAAGCCATTTTGGCATCTCCGGCTTGGTAAGTAGAAGATTTGGATTATGATTGTAACGAACATAACGGTATTTAAAATCAATCATATAATTCGATTAAAAGTAAGAAGGTCCTAAATCTTTATGTCCCAATTTACATATTATCACTTACTACTGAAAACTGCAAGGTCCAAATTCTAAAAAGTTTGACACCATGCTTTCTTCGAAAAAAAAAAGGTAGTAAATCATATATATAAATTATATTTTGTAAACTAGATGATAATTGAATTCTTTCATTAATATAAAGGCTTTTTAGTTAAAATAGTTTTTGAAATTTGCATAACTCCTCACTTTGGTCCATAAGATTTGAAATCAATAGAAGTGGTCCCTGGATTGTTCATCATCAATCATTTTGATCATTCCATGAAATATCTCTATAAAATAAGAATAAAATGATAGAAATACCCTTTTTGTCAAATCATTTTGGCCAATTGTTTTAAATTGAGGATATTTTTGTCATTTTGATCCTTATTTAACATAATTTTTCACAAAATGATTGATGGTGACAATCTCAGGGACCACTTATATTGATTTCAAATCTTAAAAGCCAAAGTTAGAAGTTATGCAAATCTTGAGAACCATTTTGAATAAAAATCCTAATTTAAATAAATAATCTCTCTAACATCACCTTTCCCCTGAAGAGCATAATGATCTCTTTCCCTCCTAGTAAGAGGAATATCACATTGTGTGAGGAGTCATATTTGGCTGTAGTTTAGGCATATTGTTTGGAATGTTATTTTATAACTTTTTTCAATCTCTCTCAAATCTCTCAAATGTGATGCTATTTTTTTATTTTTCAAATTCAATATGATATACTTGAATTTGTAAATTACAAAAATGCCCTTGTAAGTAACTGTCTAGGATTGATCTAATTACACAATTGCTAAAACACAATTTGTCAAATGTAGTTAGAAGTACATTTATAGCGCGTTTATTAATCCGTAATCGGAATGAGAATAAGGAATCCGATTCCAATTACGGATTATACCTGTGTTTACTAAAATTGGAAAGAATCAAAAGTGTGTGGGGCCCACACAAAAAATGGAATCCAATTCCTGAAATTGGAGGATTTGGATTCCCAATATATACAAGGTATTTGGATTCCAATTCCTAGACTTATTTTTCTGAAAATGCTCCTAACAATTTATTTCCATGTCCTTCTAGCTCATTAAGCATAATTCTATGCTCATTCACATTATGCACAACTCCATACATATGCCGAAGAGAAAAAACTACAACTTGAGCGAGAAAATTTAGATATTAAAGTCAATACTTAAATTTATAAAAAAAACAAACAAAATCATTTTAGTATGTCTATGAAATAAAAAAGCAATTTAATTTTTTCTTACTATTATATACTATATCAAATTTTATTAAAAAAAAGTACGTAAAATATTTGATTTGAGACCAAGGACATTTTAGTAATCATACTGGTTTATATTCCGATTCTGCTGAATTAGTAAACAGCTTTATAGAATTGTATTCCGATTCCGGACAATTTTAGTAAACAACTTCAACATGAATCTGATTCTGATTCCATCTCAATCCAATTCTTCCTCAATCCAATTCCTCATCGATTCAATTTTTCTTAATTTGATTACGGATTAGTAAACACGCTATTAGTTGTAAGCTAATCATTCTAAAACCCAAACAAGAATTGGGAGCCCACCAAATCCATTGGATTGGATCTACAATTTTGTCCAAGGTGACCGTAATGCCAGTTTGAGGCCGGATCCAATTTGAGGCCCATTAATTTTTTTCTTAGTTTTTCCTTTTATTTTTGTTGAAATAAAAACGTATAATAATTCAAAATTATATCATAAGAACTTTGAATTAAAGCTAACGTAAAAAAAAATTTTGATTTGTGTCACCATAAAGTAAGATGATAAGATTAAGTAATTAAGCAAATAATGTCATCAGTGTCTTTAAATTTAAGTAAACCAATAGTGTCCAAATAAACCCAAACCTAAAGTTTACTATTTTCCAAAACTCCAAAAATGCCTTGAGTGAGTATCAATCATGAATCATAACCTCTATTTGGATGCATTCAACCTATTATCTTTCATGTGTTGTTTATTCTCCAACAACTGTAAGATACTGCAAATGTTATGTTCGGTTCACGAATGAAAATAGTTCCCTATTTGAAATTTTAGCAATAGCTATACTGAGTCGTAGGGATAAAAGGATTGTAACTTAGTTAGCGATGAATATCCTCCTTTGCATCTAAGTTTCGAATTCAAATCATCTATCGTTCATTATTGATTGTATAAGATAAGGATTGAATATAAAAATATATTGAGACGTAGAGTGGAAGTTATGGATGCACAAAGTGCATGGGTCCACCATCCAGAGTCTATTCTTAACCTTAATGTAAACCCAAAACCATTAGAAAGTAAAAAGCATCGTGGATTAAATTACCCTTTGAAGGTTTGAAAATATTTAACTACTTTAAACAACCAAAGTGCAAATGCAATGATGTGCCGTCTATGACCCGCACTTACAAATTGCAGTGTACTATGCTACACTGCTCTTAGAGTGTGTGAGAAAGGAGATATTTTTTGATATAGCGGAAATACGATTTAGTATAATATGTGATATATAATTAGTTGAATTTTTTTTCAAGTTTCTAACTAATTGTATTATAATATTTGGTGTATCAGTCGGTGTGTCCGGTGCACTGAGAATGAAAATATTTTTCAGTGAGTTCGGAACACGAGGTAGCACATCATGTGTAACTATACAAGTGGTAAGACACTTATGCTAAAAAATTAACAACTTTAAAAATATAATTCCCTTCACTTATATAATAACAGGTGGTGTAATAGCCGTTCGCGGCACACTAAAAAATCTCATGTGAGAAAGGTAGAAAAATCTCATGTCAAAAAAAGCCTCAGACTTGACATTTGGGTTATACTTTTAGGAGAACAACTCACTGAATTATTTCGAAAAATTATTACAATGACATAGTTATAATAGGCCATATGATAACTACCTTTTTTTTATTTTTATTTTTAAATTAACTCATTTGGTAACTAAGTTCAATTTTTTTAACTAAAAATAAAATGATTATATCATTTAACAAACGATATTATTATTAATAACACATAACAATGCATAATTAATTTAAAAATACCGTCACAATAACTCTCTTAATTTAAATTGAGTTTTCTCAAATTTTCTCCAAAGTGGTAGGTTATGGCAATTTTGGCTCAATTTGAAATCAACATGAAGTCAATCACAATTTATGATTATTTATAAATGTGATGGGAAGGAACAAAGGGTCCCAATAAGTGTCGTGATTGGATTGGATGAAAGCCTCGACCTCTATGTCATTTTCTTTGTTTATTAGAATTAATTGTTCAAACTTCAAATTTTACACAAAACAAAGACAAGCATTGAAAACACACCGCACAAGACACGCTTTCTTACCGGTTGGAGCTGACTTAATCCACCAACCTTAAACTATTCATCCCCAACAAGGAAATTTCTTCCACCATAAATGTCCCCACTCCAAGAAAATAACATATCCCCATAAATTGATAGTTTATTATTAATCGAGGAAGTTAAAACGCATGACATATAAAAAAACACGTTCAATTTGTAATCATATCGATATTTGGAATGAATACCATACTACAATTGGAGATATTTTTTATATACTTGATATTCTAGTGTAAGATATGTGATCGTGTCAATCTACATAATGAACGAACCATAATTACACATCAAACTCAAGTATTAATGACATAAATGGAGTTCGAACATGAGATCTTAGCCCACAAGTGAACAAAAATACTATTACATAATAAGTCAAAAGTTAAACATATTAGAGTTCGTTTGAATGTGCTTTTAAAATGACCGAAAGTGTTTTTGGTGAAAATATTTTTAGAACTAATCCTCAGTAAAAATGCAAGTAAATCCTGGAAAAGCACTTAAAGTGCTTCCTGAAAGAAGCACATAACTGGTGCTTATTCCAGAAAGCACTTCAAGTGCTTTGGAACCTAAAAACATTTTCTCCAAAAACGTTTCCAGTTATTTTAAAAACACATCCAAAAAAACTCTTAGATTGCGTTAAAAATTTGAGATACTAGTACAGTAATTTTCAACTCCAACGGATTGGATTCGAAATTACCATCCAACGGTGGAGAGGCAAGGATGATCTAGAGCTACAGTTGACCCTACCATAGGGTATTTAATTATGAAAAGTTCAGGCCTGTCCGGAGCAAAGGAAGACCAACCGGCAACTGCAAACCAAAGAGAGAGAGAGAGGATGGGCAAAGCAAATTAGGAAAGACACCATAAAAGAAAGGAGTCATTTTTTTTTGAAATCGGAACGCTCCAATTCATCAATTCCTCCTCACCAAATCCCAACAATTCAAAAACCCACGCCTCAGAATCCTCCACTCTTCAAAACCCACATCTCATTTCCTCAAAATTCGATCAAATTCCCCTGCTTTCCCATGCAGTTCTGTTTTCAAATCCCCTCGTTTGCTTCTTAATCCTCTCTCTGTTCTCTCTCTCGTACTTTTGTTCTTCAATCCTGTTCTTTTCACCGGAATTTCAAATTATCCAAACAATCAAGAATCCTATAATTTTCTTCAAATTTCTCGGAAACGAACTTAATCAATCCGAAAGCTTTCCGAAATCCAATCATGGGAATTCAGAAAGACAGGGTTCGATTCAACGTCGGAGGCAGAATCTTCGAAACAACCGCCACGACACTCGCAAACGCGGCCGCAATTCGATGTTCGGAGCGATGTTCGACGAGGACTGGAATCTCCAATCCGACAATACCAACGATTACTTCATTGATCGCAACCCCGATTGTTTCGCCGTCCTCCTCGATCTTCTCCGAACCCAAGAGCTCTGCATCCCGGCCACCATGTCCGAAAAGCTTCTCTACAGGGAAGCCTTGTATTACGGCCTCCTTGACCACGTCCGATCAGCCAGGTGGGGCCCATTTGATGGCAACAGGCTGTGGCTTTCCCGGACAGTAGCCGGACAAGCTCCGGGCGATGGCACGGCGATTCGTGCCGGCCCGGATGGCGGTTGCTGCGTCGCCCATGGCTCGATGGTTCATGTGTATGATTGGATGGTGGAAGAGCACCCGCCAATCAACCTTGACTACCAGAGAGTCAATGATGTTGGTTGGGTCGACTCGGAGAGCATTCTGATCAGCGTTTGTGAGCGGCTCGGCCGCGGAGACGGCGGAATGGGGCTATTCAGCTCGTCGAACGGCGAGCTCAGGTACAAATTTCAAGTTAGTCATGAGAATCAAGTTAAGAGCTTTACTGCCGGAGCTTTGAGTTTTGGTTCGGACTACAAGATTTTTTCGAGCTGCAAAGGTCGGAGCAATGAGTACGGCGTTGGAGTTTGGGATCAAATGACCGGAAAGCAGACCGATTTCTTCTACGAACCGCCCGGCTGGTCGCTCGGCGATGCTGACAAGCTGCAATGGCTACATGGGAGCAACTGTTTGTTGGTCGCAACGTTGTTTCCTAGAAAGGACAACTGTTACATAAGTTTGTTGGATTTCAGGGAGAAGAAGATGGTCTGGTCGTGGTCTGATATCGGAGCTCCGATCACCGTGGACGAGAAGCGGGTGAGAGATGCGATTGCAATGGAGGACAGCAACTCGATTTGCGTGGTGAACGAGTATGAAGATTTGGGGTTTATCGACATCAGAAACTCGGGCGGAAGCGTGAGGTGGAGCTCGAGGAGCAGGCTCATGAAGGGGAAAATGCCTGATGAGCCTGCTACCCTAAGCTGGCATTGCATGAGGGGCAACTCTTTTCGTCCATGAACGATTCAATTTCGGTGTTTTGTGGTCCTGAATGGGTTTTAACGTCCAGGCTCCGGCGAAGCTACGGAGGTTCGATTTGTGACTTCTCGATAGGTGGGGATCGGCTTTTCGCTCTTCACAGCGAGGAAAATGTGTTTGACATATGGGAGACTCCACCTCCTCCGATCATATGATTCGCCTTACGATTCCGATGTTTTGAAGATCGCGTTTTTCATACATTATACATGATTTTCCTGTACTGGTAGATTGTAGGAGATGGAGAGTTGCAGCAGTACTTATGTAGGTTTAGGAAATTTAGGGATACTTCAGAGTTCTGAAGATTGTATAGGGTTTGCTGAGCTCACTACAAAGAATCAAAGTGTTTGCTTTACCTACTATTAACCGAATGAAATCGATTGCTTAACCGCCATAACTAGAAATGCGGTACCCTTGCACATCCGCTGATTACAGGTCATCTGTCATAAAACGAAGACGGAGGTTCTTACATGTGATCGGAAATACATGAGACGCAATTGAATAGGGATGGCGGAATTTATCCCCGTCGCACCCTAGTTTTTGTCCGCTTTCGGACAGACCCTCCTCTCGCTCTCTTTCGCTTTTTTGTCGTACGCTTTGCCAAAGTGATCTCCTGCACGTATTTTGATGCCGCTTAAGACGCTTTGGTAAAGATTCCAGATTTGGAGGGAGATGCCCTTTGGCATGTGAGCAGTTGCAACTGCCAACTCTTTGCAGGCCAAGGGATTTTATGAATTGCATAGCTTTAGACAAAGTGGTTAGGTTTAGCCTTCGAATATTATGAACCTTCTTTGACCTCTTCCTTCGCTTTTGTATATTCATTCTATAATGCTTACCAAGCACGACTTCATTCTGTTTCCACTCAACGTTCATACGTGAAAGTGGGGAGAAACTTCAGCAGAGTTGACTAATTAGGGCATCTCACATACCAGGTTTGAATAACGCGGGTTTTGTGCGACCAAAAAATGTGAGGTCTCTAGTCTCGTCCTCTTGTCCAATGTTCCCAGCACATGACATAGTCGGGCAACCCTACCAAGCTCTTCTAACAAGCGAAGTGGGATTTTCTTCCTACTTTACTAGAGAACCCTACATAGAGACATCAAATACTTAATTAAACTTGACTTCCTTGTTGTATGCGCCTGCTTAGTATTTTAATGTGTCCTTGTACTTAATTAGTAAGATATGAAGCTAACTAACCTGACCTTAAAGTAAGATCAAGTTCTACTTAATTTACAAATTAGAGAAACCCTTGTCAGCCTTTAAGAAATGATCAACACTAATTCCAACCAACATTACCCTTACCAACATCTAGTTTAATCCATGGCCTCACTGGGGGGTTCTGACTCATTTCTTCAATTTCAGTGTGGGCACATGTTATACCGTTGTAGCAGGACGGAGTATTCATTACGGCTGCCACACTACGGCAGTAGACCCAATAGGGTATGGACCAAGGGCAGAGGGGTAAGGCTGGTTTGTGTGCCGGGTGGACGGGTCATGTGGTATGAATGCTCGTACTGAAGTTTTTCTCGCTATAGCAGAGAGAAAACACCACAAAGGTTCAAGAAGAAATCAAACTCTAGAGGATTACTATTGTATGCATGATTAGCTACTATAGTTTTACCTTGACAACGAAGAGGATGACTAACGCCAACGCCTGCGTAAGGCGCTATAACATGAACTTCCGGGAAATTTCTGTCAATCGATTCTCCATTTATAATATAAAAAAAATTCTAAAAAGGAGTGTAAGCATAAGCAATAACATGTAGAAAAATTGGGATAGCATACCTATCTTGACCCAAAAGGAAAAGGTAAGAGATAAGCACCAAAACGGATGTGACCCTACGAAGCACACAAGTAGATCAAGCATAATCGGGCATTGCTTTTTTAAGGAACTTAATTGGATGAGACTCGATTCCAGGGGCAAGTTTGTCAAATGCAACGTAATTCTCGTCCTTGTCGTAAACATGGCATACCGTCAGTATCGTCTTCATCAAACGCCAATTCCATGTAGCCTCGTTCATATACTGTTAATCACATGGAAAAAAGAAAAAAGAATGAAGATCAATCGTTTTGCTTTCTTATGCCTTTTGAACCTTTTTGACCGCCGCTTTTTGAACAGTTCTGCTTTACATTCAGGTCATATTTGTTTACGGCTAATCACAATAAGAATATGTAGAAGAAAATGATGATATCTACCTTTCCCCAGTTTTCTTGAAGAGACTTGTGAGCTGCACGTAGGTTATAACTTGGAATCCTTGGAGATATGTGGTGTGGTATATGGACATTGATATCATGGCAGAGGGTCTCGATCCTGTTGAGAAAATAATGGATCCGTTATAAAGTCTATGTAAGAACCGTTAATGTCTCAGTTAATTCTTTTTGGATGAACAAACAAATCGGTAAAACACTTTAAGTGTGTGGAACACAAAGAACGAAGAAAGCGCCATCAGAAATATATAGTATCTCCAGTAAAAGCTGACTAAACTGCCTAACCATGTTTGTTTAAAAAATACAATCATGTCAGATTAAAGATCCAAATGACATAACGAAGAATACCATCCGGGGTAATCACAATGCACTGTTCCATTAAGTTGAGCCTGAGCAGCATTCCACTCATCTGCAGTTTTGAAAGGTATATGCGGCGCAGTATGGTGTACCATTGTGAATGTGCTCATCTATAGATCCATACAAAATTGAAAAACAAAATTCAGAGAAAGCTCGATAACCATAAAAATGGTCAAGCAACAGCAAAACATGCTAAGTACTGCAATCAAATTAAAGTATAAGGGAATTGGAAGTAGTGATACCCAAAAGTGATATCCCAAAAATGGCATCAGCCAAAACTTTATCCATCCCAAGATCCCTGCCTTGTACACGATCAATGGCCAGCCAATCCCCATAAACGCAAAAACACAAGCCAAACTTATCTTCACCCTTTTCAATTCACTTGGTCTGAACATGTTCAAATTGAAGTGGACGATCATCCTACCACGAAAGACAAAACCAAGTAAACCTTATACAACATGTTTATTGGATATACACAAATTAAGAATCCTGACTAAAGATCTCCATTACTTATTTAACGACCGCAAACAAAAGAAAGATCAACAATGTGTGATTCCTTTTATAGTTACATACCAATGAGCTATTGACATCCAAGGCCGAAGTGGGCCATATCCATAAATGATTGCCTGGCGAAAAATAGCAGATGAATCAAACTCGTCTTTAGAAACAGGCTGCCAAGCTGTATCCTCCACCAACCTAAAATGATGAGATAAAAAGAAAAATTCAAGTTAAGAGTTAGAAACATACTTAAAACATGGAAACATTACGCCTATTCAAGAAGTTATGATTTAGAAACACACAGACATGTTTGTTTTTGCATGATGACGATCATGCTTAAACCGCCATGGTTCGTATGGGTATATCAACGGCAGAAAGGCCAGCGTTCCAACGATGTCTTCCAGTAATTTGTTTTTTGAGAATGATTTGTGCGCACAATCATGACCTATAACAAAAAACTTCACAATTTGAAAGGCAAAATGAAAAAGGAATGAGTTGGCTTAGATATATCATAGTGATCGATTAAATAAAAAAAAGAGTGAAGAAAGTTACAAGAACCAATATACTATAAAGATAAGTGCTTTGAACAAACCCCAGTAACTGCAGTCCCTGTCCATGCCCAAGCCAGAGGAAGTAGATACCATGGGGCTTTCGAAATCATAAAGAGCCCCAATGCATAGGAAGTTGCAGATATTAGAACTGACTTCCATGCTTTCACATCATCAATCTCAAACACCTTAAAATATAAAAACAAGAGGAAAACGGTTACATTTGGGATTGTTTACATTTATCAACAAATTGTTAACTGGAATCAATACATTGCACTTGCATAGAAAAAAAAATGGTGGGTTATACTATATCTTCCACATATACTATGGAAAGAAGATTTCTTTCCCTTCTTTTAAACCAAATGGAAACTAAATCGAAAAACAAAATGGTTATCAAACGGGCGCTAAATTCACTCATTTGAACAAACTACTGGCAGTCTAACTCACAAAGAATCCCCAGAAAAAATGTCAAAAATCCTAAACAGATGCATCAGGTTAAAAACAAGTTGCATTGATGGTGTGGCTCTGAGGTTAACATTATCCGAAAAGACAATACCTTCTTCGGAAGGGTCTCGACGACATCCTTCAGCGTAACGTTATCCGGAAGCGGCTCTCCAATCTGTTTGAACCCATAACTTTCAGCCAATTGTTTTCTGTACTCGGCACTGCCAGCTTCCGGAGGCGGCGCAACTGGAACGGCAACCGCCTGCACAACCGCCGTCCAATTTCTACGACTCGAACATTGCTGCCTTTTGATTCCCTTTCGGAGAGCGCCGTCCAATCTCAGATAGCAGATTCCTGAAGAGTAATGGGTTCCGATTCTTTGCCTCTGAATTGGGTTCTGATGGGGTCCCTGCAACCCAAATTCCAATATTTGAAAAACCAACACTCAAATTTCCAAAATTTGAAAAAACAAGAGTAAAAAGAGAAGATTTGAGCAACTGGGTATCAAAATGTAGAGCTTTACCGTTGTGAGGAACGCAGAATTTGCAAGCCTGCACGCCATTTTTGAACAGAAAGCAATCCCAGCTCACAAGGACCCCCAACACACCAGAGCCGCTTGCTCCCCTTCTGCAAGTGTGAGAGCTGAAGGGTGAAAAGGATAGGCTTTTTTTGGTGGAGAGTTATAAAAGGGACCGCTGCGGGTGCGGCTTGCGTTGCGCTCTGATTCCGCGTGGATAGATTTTCCGCAACTCACCACAACCGCTAGTTGTTATCTGTCACTCGTCGCTCTTCCCGTCGACATAAAAAGTTGATGTATCCATACAACAATGGTAGTCAATTGGTGTGAAAATTTCGTGCCTAGTGTATAATGACGTATATATTTGTTCTTTTGTTTTTATTGAGCTGCCTAATTTTTAGTACTTAGTGGGGCAGTGTTTGTATTAGTCCCACTATGAAACAGACAGACGTCTTTTTAATAAGTAATGCATAATATATCTATGTTATTGCAACAAATATAAAAAAAATAGTAGTACTAATATTATTATTTGTGGTGCATCTTTTCTTTGTACAAACAAAGTATTGTTTGTTAATATTTTTAATAATGTGTTGATACTATTGTAGCCAATGACGAATTTCAATGTAGTCATTTGTTCCTTAATAGGACTTTCTAAATATATAATTTATAAACATGGCTTGACTAGAAGTGCTTTTAAAATGACAGAAAACACTTTTAGAAAAAATATTTTTGGGTTTCAAAAGCAATTAAAGTTGTGTTTCTTCCAATAAGCACTTCAAGTACTTTTCTAAGATTCACTTGCGTTTACTAAGGATTGGTTCTAAAAATGAAACGTTTTCAATCATTTCAAAAGTACCTCCAAATGAGCTCTAATTACCGTAATTGGACATGAGTATTAGTGGTAGAACCAAGCATTTAATCATACGGCACAAAAATAGCGTCCAAGGTTGGACATATTTGGGCCCAAAATACAAAAATGATGTTATTTAAATACACAAAATTGCCATATTTCTTGATATAGAGCTTGTTTAGATATGCTTTTAAAATGACTGAAAACGTTTTTAATGAAAATATTTTTAGAACCAATCCTTGGTAAAAATGCAAGTAAATCCTGAAAAAAAAAACACTTAAAGTGCTTCCTAGAGAAAGCACATAACTGATACTTTTTGCAGAAAGCATTTCAAGTGCTTTTGGAACCCAATAAAATTTTTTCTAAAAATGATTTCAGTCATTTTAAAAACATATACAAACGAGCTCATACTCTTTAACATACATAACATAACTACCACACCTTATAATTCATACATAACGATCACGCTTTGTTATTCATACATAACGACCATGCCGACCACGCCTTGTAATTCATACAATATTTTTCCATGGGACATGTGAAGAATTCGTGTAAAACATTCATGATAGGATTTGTGTGATAAATAAAAAAATTGAATTCCACTTCTCTCTTTTGGACTGAGACTTTTCTTGGGTTCGTGCATTTCCACAAATCCAACTTCCAATAGGCCAACAAGAGAAAACATGGGAAACGATTTTAATATTTTTTGCTTTGTTTTGACGGGAATTACGTTTCCTTTCTTCTTTTCTTTTATGCTAAATTTATTAAGTTATGTAGGTGCAGGTGACAAACATACTATTTTACCTAACTTAATTAAGCTTAATTTATAATATTGTGTTGGGACATGACTTCTACATTCTTTCTTATAATTGTCTAGTCTGGACAAGACGGCTATGGATGCAAATTTCTTTCTCCTTAATATTGGACAAAATTGCACCTACAAAACAAATAACACATTAGGTCAAGGCTAAGAGCCTCACGCGCTCATGATGAATTGGGGGGTAGGCCCCGGCTTTGGCCGATGCTAAAGTTAGAATTTTAAAAGAAAAATGTTTGGAGAAAGAGAATTTGAATTGAGTTTTGGAGAGAATGAGATAGTATTTATAAGGGTGTGGCCGGCCCCTTTAGGAGGGGATGAGGACCGGCCACTTGGTTGATATTTTGGGTGAGGTTCATGATTTGTAGCTAATTAGGAATAATTGAATAATAAATCAATTAATTAGCTAATTAATAGAATAATTTCCTGATTGATTAGCTAATTAATATAATAAAAGATGAATGATTTGGGGAGTTACCTTGTGAAAAGGATTTGATGAGGATGGATGAAATAGGTTTTGAATTATTACCTATTTTGGGCACTTTTGACTTGATTGAGAGATGATTGCCCACTGCTCACGCGTAGGAATCTCGATGTGCCTCGAGGGTAATTTTGTCATTTTTACCCAAAAATCCACATGGTACCTTTGTGATTATTTTTTGCTCCACAATGGCAACATAGGACATAAGTAGAGGTGGCAAATCAACACATTAGTTTGATTTCACATTCACACCTACCAATCTCACTCCAATATTATGATGATATCAAGTTAAACGGGTCGTAAAGAGTACCCATTAACAACCTAGGAGGTTGATTTGCCACCTCTAGACATAAGATTACGATATTTTAAGATTAATCCAAGCATGCTCCATGGAGTTTAACAACAATTCTCAGTAACAAATTTGCGAGAATCTAATCACGTCATATGCGACTATGGAGTTGGACATTCTCTTGCGCCCACTCCAAAGAGTGCACCCTACTAAAATGTTTATTTATTTTTTCAATATGCAACTGAATAAGCGATGAAGAATACTATCGATTTTTTACTTGAAAGATAATTAAGAAAATTAACGATCCGATTAGAATTTATAACATATATACAATAAAAGTTCGTTAATCACAATTGAGTGGCCAAAAACGTACATCTTTCGGCGGAGTTTTGATGTTTTGCATTGATCATTGATCAATAATCATGTCAATTCCTTCAGAAGAAGAATAATATGATGTCATGGTCGCACTTGTTACAGATTTTAGTCCCACACCAGCCGGCTAAGGACGCCATCTTCCCATCAACCAAATTAAATGACATTCTCAATGGCCTTTTGTTCTGGGACTGAGTCAAGGACCTGTCCAGACCTGAAAGGATTATCCATCTTGTGCCGTAACATTGAGATGCTCTCACCTCGAATTTAATATCTGACAATATTTGAGCACATTATTAGTAATTTCGGAGCGTTTTTAAGTTCTTATAAAACAGTTTTAGCTCTTACAGACGGAATCACAAACACGTCTTGAATTTCATTTCTCCCACAAGTAGAAAAAAAAAAAAAACCAGTGCTTACAGAACAATGGCAATTTGCTATCTTTTCCTGTTCATCTTCGCACTTCTGCACAAACCTCACAAGATTAATTCAAGTAAGCATGTTTTCTACAGTTCACTTCTTTTCCTAATCCATCAGTTAATCCATTTAACAGAGTTTAATTAGTCTGTTTTTTTTTTTCTTTTCGTTTTCTTGAGCAGGTGCTTGCACATTGGATTTTACCAGGTTCCCTTACGAAGCGCAAAGCGAGTGCTTTGACATGGATGCCGCAGCTTCTTCGTGTTGTAGCTCTGCCCTCCAATCTCTCTTCCAAGCAATGACTCTAAAATCTAGCCAATCCAGATCCATATTCCTCAATTTTTTGGAAGCTCAGAATTGTACCAACATATTCGAAAATCTTCACAACAGGATCAATCTTAACAAATGTGAGCTCCAAGACTTTATCTCCTCTTCAACACGCGACCTGTGTTCGAACAATGCGGATCAAATTATTGATCTTATCGGGGTTGAAACGTATAACGAGTTACTCTTCAATTGTAAGGACTTATCTATCAGGAATCACAGCGATGAAGTGTGTTTCGATTGCGTTGTTTCTTACAGGAAAACCTTGCAAGCTCTAAAGGAAAGAAACAGATCAAGTGACAAAGGGTGTGCTGAAGCTCTACTTGTTAGTCTAGCTAGCTCAGATGTTCAATCCCCAAACTTTGTTCAGGGAACTTTTTCGTGTTTGTGGAACGAAATTCGTAAGATTTCTATATCGATCCATATATTCGTTAGATTTCTTGGACCACAAGGTTTCTCTTATACTTGATTTTTCCCATACTGATGATCCTGTTCTTGTGTTTCTGCAGAGTCTCCATGGCCTACACAAAAAAGTCCAAACAAAGCCTATATCTTGGGATCCAAGAAACTCCTTGCTATAGTGATCGTGGCAGTGGCGCTGGTGATTTTAACTCCGATTCTTTACAAGATTACCAGAAAGCAACTAAAATATGCAAGCGAAAAAGATATCGAAATCCTATCCGGTGAGCATTCTGTTAAAATTAATTAGCCTCTTAAATCCAAGATTAACAAATTAAGAAGTGAATGGCTACTCATATATTCGTTGTTGCACTGCGGTCATATGTAGTCTCCAAGAAGACAACAGAGGATGAATTAGTGAGTTTCTTCAACTGCTCCGGTCTTTACATATTCTCACGAGATGAAGTGCTGAAAGCTACCAACTATTTTGACGACTTAAACTTAATTGGAGAGACAAAACTTGGTATGAATTATGATCAGTATTATGATGCTAATCATGATTAAATTTTTTGATTTAGTACACTCAAAAATTGGGTTGAGGTTGAAACTCATAGATCCTTTCAGGAAAATGCTATGTTGGAATAATGCCGAGTGGAATGCCAACGGTGATTAAGAAACTAAACCAGGGGATTAGGGTTCCGAGTTTTGGGGATGAGGCGTGCCGGAAAGCGAAGATTAGGCATCCTAACCTGGTGAGCACTTTGGGGTATTGTGACAAAGGAGAATACTGTCTTGTTTACGAGCACTGCGTAAATGGTAGCCTAGCAGGCTGGCTATTTGGTAAGACTAATCAGTGTACGTTGTGCCGTATATCTGCATAACTATATGCAGTAATTAAACACTAATTAGGGTTTAGCAGGTAATGGAGCAGGTAATGTGAAGGCACCAATCTTGACATGGGAACGTCGAATGCAGATATCGATCGGGGTTGCTCGCGGATTATGTTTCCTCCATGCTAATCCCTTGGATAAAATGGTTCATGGAGATGTAAAGGTAAATAATTAATTTTGGTTTAGACTTTAAACACCATTAGAGAAACTAATTACTATTACTAACCATTGAATGACTGTCAGGTAGCAAACATATTTCTGACTGAGAAACTTGAAGCCAAGATCATAGACTCCGACCTGTCAAGCTTCAAGCCACATGAAAGAAAAGGGTTGCGAACCATCAAAACAGACGTTTTCGATTTCGGGTTTCTTCTGCTCCAAGTTTTGACAGGAAAGAAGGCAAAATCACTAATTGAGGAGGTTTGCTCTAATCCTAATTTCATCTAGAAACTACATACAGTCTAGAAATTCTTTGTGCATGACGTTAAGGGGCCGAATTTTGTTGGCTTGAGATGGTTGAATGACCAAAACACAAAACCTTGTGATTAATGGCTGACCTGAACATCTAGTTAGCAGCCATTGAAGTCGATGTGGAGAGTTTGAATCTGCGGGAAGCAACTTTGAACGCCTATAGTCTTCTACAAAGCACCCACCCTTATCAACTCATTCAATGAAGTCTGTATGTTGTGTCGTAGGGTTTGCAGGGACTACTAGGATTGTATAGCTTTTAGGGTTTTGACTTTTGTCCATTAAAGAGAATTCATCACAGCCATTTAACCTCGTTTAGAAGTGCTTTTAACATGGATGAAAATGCTTTTGGTGAAAATGTTTTTGAAACCAATTCTTAGTAAAAATGCAAGTAAATCTTTGAAAAGCAATTGAAGTGCTTTCTGTAAGAAGCATAGGAAGCACTTTAAGCACCAGATGCTTTAGGAATCCAAAAATATTTTCATTAAAAGCGTTTTTAGTCATTTTCAAACAGTTTTAAATAAGTCTACGTTATCATATCAAGACGTTAATGACATTAACCTGCCCTTTTAAGACACAACGGTGATTTCATGTAAGCATGGTATTAGACCCTAATTACATTCTTATTGATTTGTAGGATCATTTTAAGGTTGATTTATGTTGGAATTCAAATCCAACCTTAATGTTAGAATTCAAATCCAACAAATTGTGGTTCCATTAGGTGTCTGTTTAACAAATAACGGACGTTCTATTGTAACCTAATTGATACGTGTCATATGTGTTGCAAATTTATGCAGGCAAGAGATGCAATAATGAAAGGAGCAAGTATAAGTGCCATGGCGGATCCACGGTTAAATGGGGCTTATGTTGCCTCTGAATTTCGAAATGTCTTGGCCATAGCCGTTCGATGCACGGCTCCGAATGAAGGGGAAAGACCATATATGGAAGAGGTTGTAAGGAAACTTGAAGAAACACAGAATTTAGTCTGAAGGATTGAAACGTATTTTCGGCACATTAAATTTTCTTTTTTTCCGTTATTTTGGCAAAAAAGAAGAAAATTTGATGCAACCAGTCAATAAGTGGATATGCGGAGTTGTATTTTTCTTTATACCATGTATTTCAAAATCTTGGTACGAAAATGTAATAGGCGCTAATATAATACTCTTGAATCTTTTGTTAAGGCTTCCGCTTTAGTGTAACGAAATTAGATAAACATGATCACTTGTAAAATTTGTCACGTGATCAAAGATGTGGACACATAGTAGTTTAAAACTAGTGATACCCAATAATTTCATGCTTGAGATGAATCTTTAGATATGAGATTTTCGTATCACGTTTCATTCTATCTAAGACAAATAAGGGATATCTCAACATTTGAAGAGCAACTTACATAGCACGAGTAGATCGTCACCATTGTTATGATGCGTTTGACACTAGTCTTGTTGAATTACCAATATGAAACACCAAAATTCTTTTTCTCCATTCGAAACTACATGGCGAACATGAATGACATTGTACTCGTGCCATATATACATTCAAATCCACTATTATGGGCCTAGAATAATCAGTTTAGTCCAACAACACAAGATAGCCCAAGTTGGAGCCAAGTCCATCTGTATAATTGCTTGCTGTTATACATATCCAAAAAGAAGGAAAATGACCATGGCCGGATTTTTTTCGTAGATGATTATTGATCATACATCGTACATTGTGTAGTTAGATATTATTTTAAAATTAAATATAATTAGTATCTAATTAAAATTGACCGCACAAAATCTAAAAAAAGTATCCTCGATCATTTTCCCAAAAAAAAAGAAAAGGAAAAAGTAGTAGGGAGCCACGTTGACGGATAGAAATGTATACACGTCGAGCAGTGGTGGTGTCCACGTCATTAGAAGCTGACAGTGCCAAGTCGGTTGGTGTGAAATCCAGCAGCTTGCTGAAGGAAAGATACGAATCGCCTAACAGAAAAAAAGAAAAAGTTGCAACGAACCACACCATCCATCACACTCTTCGTCGTCGTCTTCTTCGACAATCCAATCCGCAGCAAAAAAAATCAAACCATCCAAAAAATCGACACAAAATCCGAATTGAAATTCGTTCTTTTCTCAGAATCCGACTGCATTACCGTCCAGAATTCGTTTTCGCTACACCAAAATCCTCGTTTCTATCACAAATTTCATTTCTGCATTATATAGATATATATATGTGCGCGTGTGTATATGGACATGCATGCGATTGATCGGCGATTGTAGATTGGGAGGGAGAGATTGGGAATAGGAGGCGTGTTTAGGAAGCAGAGATGGCGTTGCTGCGCAAACTGTTCTATCGGAAGCCGCCTGATGGACTCTTCGAGATCTGCGAGCGAGTTTACGGTGCGCCTTTCTTCCTTGATTTCTTCGGTTTCTGATCCTGCAGCTTTCGACTTTTTATTTTTTTTCATATGTGAACATGATAGAAATTCTGTGATGCCACTCCAATTTTGATCTTATATATATATATATATAAATGAATGTATATAGTCCTGCTTACATTGTGTTGTGTGCTTAATTCAATTGAGTATCAATTCCGAATTTAGGTACAATAGCTTTGTTTTATGTTAATTTGTAAAGTTAATTAGTGTAACTGTAACATCATGTAATTGAACCTGGCATTTTTTCATGTCCTACTCGGTTTTATACTCCACTCAATAACAAAGGGGCGACAGCGACACCCCCCCGGGGGCAAAGGGGGATCGGGGGAACGTCTATGGCACGCAGCCTTACCTTTGCTTTGCAAAGAGGTTATTTCCACGACTCGAACCAGTGACCTTTGGTCACAAAGGAGCAACGTTTTTGTTGTGCCAAGGCTCGTCCTCTTCACTTGATAGGAATGATAAAGAGAAAAGTAAATTCTGTAGTTTTGGCTCTTAGCCAGTATTTGTTCAAAGCAGTTGAGTCGAAATTTGATACATTTAGGTACGAATTCGTTATTGTCCATTAATATAGAAGCAACATCTTGGCTAGAAAACTTTCAAAATATTTGTAATTATGAATTTGGTGAAATTGGATGATTAATGAACAGTGTTTATGTGGTGCCGATGTCTAAAATGATTGCATGCAGATGAATGTTCAGATTGCTAGAAAATTGTAAGGAGAAATATTGGATTGTCTTTTAAATAGTTGTGTTTATGACCCATCTGTAAGCAGCTGTTTTTAGTCCATTGTTTAATGTCTGATTTTTGTGTCGATACAGTTTTTGATTGCTGCTTCACTACCGATGCGTGGAAGGAAGAAAACTATAAGGTTTACATAGGTGGGATAGTTGGTCAACTCCAAGATCACTTGCCAGATGCTTCATTCTTGGTGTTCAATTTCCATGATGGTGTGGCACAAAGCCAGATGGCCAGCATTTTGTCCGAGTATGATATGACCATTATGGATTACCCGCGGCACTTTGAAGGTTGTCCGGTGCTCACACTAGAGCTGATCCATCACTTTCTGAGATCAAGTGAAAGTTGGTTATCGCTTGGACAGAATAACGTGCTGTTGATGCACTGCGAACGTGGAGGTTGGCCTGTTTTGGCTTTCATGCTGTCTGCTCTCTTGATTTACCATAAACAGTATAGTGGCGAGCAGAGGACGTTGGACATGGTTTACAGGCAGGCTCCTTCTGAGCTTTTGCATTTGTTATCACCGCTAAATCCAATCCCTTCGCAACTGAGGTATCTCCAGTATGTGACGAGGAGAAATGTAGCCTTGGAATGGCCTCCTCTGGATCGAGCGCTTACCTTGGAGTGCGTCATTTTCAGATTTGTTCCTAACCTTGATGGGCAGGGTGGTTGCCGTCCTATTTTCCGCATATATGGACAGGACCCTTTTCTTGCTAATGATAAAACTCCAAAAGTCTTATTCTCAACTCCAAAGAAAGGAAAACCCATACGGGCTTACAAGCAGGTGATTTTATACTCTTTTGGTCTTACAGTTTGATTTCTCTGTATAATTTTTCTATACTGAGACAGGTTTATATACTCATTTAAACGGTTATTGCTGATCCAAATGACCATTGACTATAGGTTCATCATTCCCGTCTCAACTTGAAATATCTACTTGTAGACTTACTTTAACTGCACTGTCTTTCTTTTGTTCTCATTTGTTTTGGCATGGTGTTATTCGTATCTTATATACACCAAACGTATGTTGATTTCAACTGAAGATGCTTTGCTTGGTTGGATGGCCTAATCTTTATCTTATTTACCCTTCAACTACACTGCAGGTAGAATGTGAACTGGTTAAAATTGACATTAATTGCCATATTCAAGGTGATGTTGTGGTCGAGTGCATTAGCCTACATGATGACTTGGAACGTGAGGAGATGATGTTCCGTGTCATGTTCAATACAGCTTTTATTAGGTCTAACATTTTGATGCTCAACCGTGATGACATTGACATGTTGTGGGATGCTAAGGAACAATTTCCAAAGGACTTCAGAGTAGAGGTGTATCTCTGCTTCTTTTGATTACATGTTTCTATTTTGTGTGTTTCTTTTCTGACATATTCCTTGGTTACAATATGTTTTAAGATCCTTTTTTCAGAGATGGATGCTGTCACATCCATCATCCTGGGTGGCATGTCATGCTTTGAGGACAAGGAGGGCCTTCCGATGGAAGCATTTGCTCAAGTTCAAGAGATCTTTAACTACGTGGATTGGTTAGACCCCAGGTCAGATGCCACACTTAATGTGCTACAACAAGCATCAAATATTATCCAAGAAAAATTAAACAGTGATTCTCCACGGAGTACTGGGAATGACTCGCAGGAAACAAGTCCAGGAAAGACCCCAAAGAAAAAGAACCTTCTCTCCTCTGATGACATGCAATCTGTGGCCTCACCCAGGCAATCTCATGATACCAGTGTGAGTAAACAGCAAGCTAAACCCCAAGATATCCCAGCTACACCTCAGCCACCCAATCAAGGTGATTCAGTATCCCAGCATATTCCCCAACCTTCTCATTCAACCACAATGGGAGCATTTGCTCAAGTTCAAGAGATCTTTAACCATGCTGCCTCACCTATGCAGTCCCCAGATTCCACTGTGAGTAAACAGGAAGCTAAACCTTCAAAGACTGCACTTCAGCCACCCGATCAACATGATTCTGTGAGCCAGAAGGCGCCCCAACCTTCTAAGTCAACCCCAATGGAAGCTAAATCTCAAGACATTCATACTGCACTTCAGCCAACCAGTAAGCGGGATTCAGTGAGCCAGAGGATCCCCCAACCTTCTCAGTCAACCCTGATGGACACTAAACCACAAGACATCCATACTGCGACTAAACAAGAAGCCAAACCTCATGATATTCGTACTGTGATTAAACAGGAAGCCAACCCTCAAGCCATTCATGCTGCAATTCAGCCACCCAATATATGTAATTCAGTGAGCCAGCAGAGGCCTGAACCTTCTCAGTCAACACCAATGGAAGCAGCTAAACCTCAAGACAATCTTACTGTGAAGAAACACGAAGATAAACCTCAAGAAATTCCTACTGTGAAGAAACAGGAAGCTAAACCTCAAGACATTCCTACTGTGAAGAAACAGGAAGCTAGACCTCAAGACATTCCTACTACACTTCAGCCATCCGATAAACTCGATTTGGTAAGCCAGAAGATACCACAACCTTCTCAGTCATCCCCGATGGAAGCATTCAGTCAAGTTCAAGAGATCTTTAGCCATGCAGCCTCACCTATGCAGTTTCCAGATACCAGTACGAGTAAACAGGAAGGTAAACCTAATGATATTCATGCTGTAGAAGTTAAAAGTTATCCAGTTGTACCATCAACATCTCCACCTCCACCTTCCAAGTGTACTTCGGCTAAAACAACTGTTCCTTCTCCTCCCACACCGCAACTTCTGCCGCCTGATGTTTTAGTTTCAAAACCTGAAGACTCATCACTTCTTGAAGAGACTAAAAACTATTCATCGGATGGAGCCCAACAATCAACCACTAGTCATCCAGCTGCCTCTGGGATGCCAACCTCAAGTACCATTTCTGGAAAGGTGTTACCTAAAGCACCCACTCCACGTTCTGAGGTTGCTTCATCAACCCGGCCTCCTCCAACTCCTCCAACTCCCCCACCACCTCCTCCAGCACCGCCTTTGAAAGAGAACCATGCTGACAGCTCCAGACCTCCGCCCCCTCCCCCTCCTCCTGGACCTCCTCCACCTCCTCCTCTTCACTCAGGGCAAGCTGGAGGCACTATAATCTCGTCCCCAGTTCCACCACCGCCTACTGCTCCCACTTCTTCCACCAAACATGGAGCTCCTTCTGCCCCACCTCCTCCACCTCCTCTTGGTAAAGGAGGTTCTAAGCCGGGTAACCCTCCGCCACCACCTATTACTTCCCCTGGTGGTGCAAAAGGACGCCTACTACGTACCATAAGTTCAAAAAATAATAATTCAAAAAAACTGAAGCCGTTGCACTGGTTAAAATTGTCAAGAGCGGTTCAGGGAAGCTTATGGGCTGAGGCACAAAAATCTGATGAAGAGGCCAAGTATGATTTAACTTGCTACGAGAGAAGAGAAAGAATTGTTTCATGTATAGATCTTCCAGCCTTTAACATTATTTCTTTTTAATATTGAGACAGGGCTCCTGAGATTGACATGTCAGAGCTTGAGACTCTTTTCTCAGTGGCAGCTCCGGCCCCGGATAAGGGTAGGAAGTCAGCTGGACATGGTTCGGTTGCCCCTAAATCTGAAAAAGTACAACTGGTAATTGTAATTTCAACTCTCAGTTAATGCACAACACAATTGCTCTTGAGGATTTGTTACTTGACGTGGTTTGTGTTCATTGTTATATTTCATAGTTTAATGCACTATCATGAATGAGGGATATGTGTTTGATTTCTTTCTTGCATATGAGCCTTCTTTGTCTCTAGCTTATTCATTAAAGTATACATCTAATTGGCTTTTTATTTATTTACTGCAGATTGACCACAGGCGAGCATACAACTGTGAAATCATGCTTTCAAAGGTGAAGGTTCCGTTGAATGAATTAATGGTATGCTTGATCCTAATTCCACAAGTTTATCTGCTTTTGTCAACCTTCTTTTCAGTATTAATCGCAATAGAATATGACGTTTTCTGTAATATTGACAGGATTCAGTACTTGCGCTGGAGGATACAGCATTAGATGTTGACCAGGTAGAGAACCTCATAAAGTTTTGCCCAACGAAAGAGGAGATGGAACTACTTAAGGTAAGTCTTTAGCTGAAGATGGAACGTTTAGGTAAATCTTTCTAGTATACGTAATCTCATTTATTTTGTGTTCAGGGCTACACTGGAGAAAAGGAGAAGTTAGGAAAATGTGAACAGGTTTGCAGGATGTCATGTGTACATTTGTTTGTTAATTATATAATGTATTTTCCATTCCTTTATACATGGGGATTCATTTATTAATTTTTGAATGTTGGCGGCAGTTCCTCTTAGAGTTGATGAAGGTACCTCGAGTAGAATCTAAGCTCAGAGTTTTCTCATTCAAAATACAGTTCTCTTCCCAGGTAAACTAGCGTATGTAATTACTTATCAGCTTAGCTGTAATATTGTTTGGGCTTTATATTAAGACTTGCTGGTGGCACCGTGTAGGTCTCTGATCTTAGAAATAGCCTGAATGTAGTGAACTCTGCAGCAGAAGAGGCAAGTTATTCCTTCTTTTTTTCTCTTAATCGTTGATGGTCACTATTCAAGGATTATCGAAATATTTATTTGTCTTACAACCTGTTCTACTTATCAGATCAGGAATTCTGGCAAATTGAAAAGAATCATGCAGACGATTCTTTCATTAGGAAACGCTTTGAACCAGGGGACAGCTCGGGGTAAGCTCAAATTAATTTCAATTTCAAAGCTTAGCAATGTAAAATATCGCAATATCAAGCACATAGTTCAACACTTTGTCTGTATGCGGTCTGAAATGAATTCATATTTCATGTGTTCCATCTACATTGTCCTTAGAAACCTTTCATTCATACATGCAACAGATTTTATGCTGCTAATTTGTGCTCATGTTACCACTCCTTTTAACTGAGCCTAATAGTTGATATTGTATTTAGGCTCTGCTATTGGATTTAGGTTGGATAGCCTTCTTAAACTGATTGAGACTCGCGCACGGAACAACAAGATGACTCTCATGCACTATCTTTGTAAGGTACATTTTGCTGCTTATTCCCTATGGACTATCATTGTAATCCAATTGAACTCCAACTCTTATTTGTTTGTATTTGTTTGAATCTACTTAATATGCATGTCTGGTTAGTCATGGTCTTTCTTGATACGCCATAGGTACTCGTTGACCAACTACCGGAGGTTCTAGATTTCTCTAAAGACCTGGGCAACTTAGAACCTGCAGCAAGGGTATTCTTTTTGTGTCTGGTCCATAATCTTTGGGAATTAGTGGACATCTATTGATTAACATCTTTGATGCGTTGCAGATACAATTGAAATTTTTGGCGGAGGAAATGCAAGCTCTGAGTAAAGGATTGGAGAAGTTGTACAGGAATTATCCACCTCTGAAAATGACGGTCCTATATCAGAAAAATTCCGTAAGGTATGGATGATGCCATTAAAATGACAAAGGCGATATGCATGCCATAAAGACCGATTTAACTACCAAAAGAGTCTATGGTGAGCACTTGCGCCTTGACTAATAGTTTCTCTTTTGACCTTTAGATTCTAAAGGAGTTCCTCCGTTTCGCTGAAGGTGAAGTGAGGACTTTGGCCTCATTGTATTCTACCGTAGTAAGTCTTGGTCCGATGAGTACTGTTTCAAGGTTTCGTAATGTTGGATAAGTATTATTAACACAGAGCTGCATGATACAGGGTAGAAATGTAGACGCATTGATCCTTTATTTCGGAGAAGATCCCGCTAAGTGCCCTTTTGAACAAGGTACTCATTTAAGATTTGACCTTGTGTTTAGGACCTTCTATTCTGTTAGCGGTTGTTCACTGTTGTTCACAACTCTCAACATGAGCCCTTCATAACCGGACCGACCATCTTCCTTCATAGTGTTTGTGGTTTGCTTGGTCGGCAGTTTCCACAGCTTTAATCGCGGGCTACCTTCTAACCGTATCAATTTTCTGCTGCAGTTGTTACAACCTTGCTCAACTTTGTCAGAATGTTCAACAAAGCTCATGATGAAAACTGCAAGCAAAGTGAGAACGAAATGAAGAAAGCGGCAGAAAGTGAGAAGCTTAAGATGGGCGCTTCGAAGGAATCCGAACGATTGTTGCGTACTCCGATCCAGAGCAGCAACGTCAAATAATTGGGTTTCTAAATCCGGCGCGTTCATCATCGTGGACGGAAAAGTATAACATGAACACAGGTTTGAGCAGAAAGGTTTCTTTTTCGTTTTCTCATTTTCCCCTTTACAAGGCTAAATGGGAAAAAGTTTTGGTATTTAATGCGCGGGATTAGAATGTAAATTAGCGTAGTTTGTACTTGTTTCGCAGATGTAGGCCTAGAATTATGAATCGACAAAACTTGACGCTGCAAGGCCGATTTTGTCCTCCGGTCCGGCATGCATATGCGCTTCCTAAACTTTTTTTATGGCGCAATAAAAGTTGAGGTTTCATTATAAAACTAATTGACAATGTAGTGGTTTGCCCAATTAATTATAAGCACATGCGATGTGGAATTGACAGGGTGCAGGATAACCTACTCTAATAACATGAAAAGGTTGATGTTCTACTATAGAATCAACTGGCAATATAAGTAGTAGTTCAATTAGCTTATAAGCACATGTAATGTAAGATTCTTTTTTTTTTCTGACGTAGAATTGATATTCTCGACATGATAGAGGTCCAAGGCAATACTTTAGTAGGGAACTTGTGCGACGTTAGATTGCAGCAGTTTCTTTCATTAGTATAAATAAATGGAGGAATTTTGTGATAGTTCCTTCAGTTTTCTTAAAATTTTGTATGTTTAATTTACACTTTTGAAATGTGTGTTGGACTAGTTGGTCGAGCTTTCCGCCCTCTTGCATGGTCGTACTCAAGTTTGAATCCCTCTGCACTCACTGTAATCATTCTTAATATTTTAGTTTCCCTTTTAATACCAAGAAACAATGGGGTGACCTATCTGATTTGTGTTCGATCCACCAATATTAAACTAACACTAGTTTGTTGGAGTTGGTCGCTGCTGTTTTGTATAATCATACTTAAAACGAATTTTATCAAACTCTGGGCTCTTAGCATAGCTCATGAAACGACTACAATTACGTCACTAACTAATTATTTGTGGACAATATAATACTCTAACTAAGATGAAATTTCGAGTCATTTGCCGAGCAATTGAAGTAATTATATAATGATATGTGATGTTCCATCTTATGTTTCAGACACATTGAAATCTCTTGAGATTTCTCTCGTCGTGAATAATGATGTGAGATTCGTTATAACTTCTAATAGCTAAAGCATCAGTGTGGATTGCGACATTTGATTCATAACTTCAATAAGCTAACCACTTTATGTTTTTTTTTTTCTTCTCATTTCTGTTGGTCACTTTCTGGTTTAAGGATTGAACCAATATACCTACTATACTACAAAGAGTGATATGACTTGGTTCTCACGTTTTTCTGACATTAAGTTTTATCATTGCAACGAAAATGAAAGCAACAAAGTTTTACGAGAGTAACTACCTACTAATATTTGTGTTTCGATTGCACTAAAAAACTACAACACTCGCTCATAAAAACAACTAGTGCGACATCCTCAATCATTTATGAAATTTAAACTCAAAACTAGTAGTCAAAATGTAGGTATGGCAGAGAGAGTCTTGATCAACAAAATGAGACCATTGTGGACCAAAAATACTTGTCCGGTCAAAACTACGTAGTATAAAAATAAAAATGTAGATATTGTATCCGTCGTTGGCACGTGCGGTTTTAGCTGTACCATCCCCGACAGCATGTCTTGTGAGGTGTGTGTGTGGTGTCCGAGCAAATCACGTGCCCGCAACGTTACAAAGATGCAGGGGATTGATTCCTTCTTCTCTTTCAATCCCAATATTTACATTTTGTTTTTCCATTTTTTAACTATATTTTTTTCTGTGCCACCAAATCCCCGTAGACTGCAACGACGTCCATCCCCTTGAGATAAGATTTTTATCAGATCATTTTTGTGAAGATATTGGAAAATTTTTAATTATATTCTTTCATTGTATATCGTGTGATAAAAATTATTTTAAATTATATTATTTAAAATTGTACATAATTATTATCTGACGAAAACTGACCGTATGATGTACGACGAACGAACATGATTAAAGAATCTTCGGGATCCTCACAAAGAGGATCCAGTGAGGATCCTATCTCCATCTCCCTCCTCTCCAACTATTTAAATACATGTGTTTTCACAAATTACTGTTCACAAAACAAAGTCGATTATTAACATTCAAAATTAGCAAGCCAACGAGTTTGTAATTCAGTTAATTATTTGAATTTTCGAGTTTAATTTTTCTCTTGTCACTTAGTTGCACAACATTTGAATTTTTGAGTTCAATTTATCCTCTTTTACCGCAATTGGTTAAAATATTCGTCATTGCATCTAAAATCTCGAGTTTGATTTTCCGCTCCTTGCACGACACAGAAAGTCCTGAATTCAACTCTCCCCTCTTGTACTTTTACCGAATTAAAAATAATAATAAAATAGGAAATTAAATGGGTGTGTGTCGGTGGTCTTTTTTATCCTTTTTCTCATCCCTTGTCTTTGTCTTTGGACCCGGCGGTGGCGGGTGAGAGTTTGTTGGGAACATTACGTGTCGCGCCCTGAGTGCAGCATTACGTATCATTTGGACTCACACGCCGATTCCTAAAATTGTGGTGGGCCCACGACGAAAATGATAAATGTTATTTCCTACCCGACCCCAGTAATCAAATGAATTAACTAAAATTTAATTAGTTATTATTTTTTTTAATGAAGTTTTTTTTTTTTTTTTTTTTTCTGTCAAATTTAATGAAGTTAATTAGTTATTCTTCAATATATATATATGATTAGGATAAACTGACGTATTTATTTAAAATAAATGCTAATGAGATTCTCTTAAAATTGGATCTCTATGACATTCCGCCGTCTTATTTTATAGCACAATTCTCAGGATAACATATTAAAATATATTGCTAAATACATAAGATGACAGATATTCCATAAAGAGTCTCCTTTGCATTTATCCTATTTAAAAAGTTATGAGTTAAGCTGAGCCTAACAGCATGGGCTTGTAATTAAGTAGGGCATTAAGATGATTGATGGAAGTGGAGTCCGACCCAGATGGGTAAAAGTGTTAGAAATATATTCACAAACCATGTCACTTAGTACTATGGTTTAGTGATATTTCTCTTAAGTGAGAGGTCTTAGGTTCGATTCTAGCCAAAGGCGAATTTAAATCATGTTATTGCTAGTCCATTGTGAGGCTAGCCAACCCCTTCTTCTTAGTGTATAAAATATCGTTTGTTAAAAAAATATATATAAATTAAGAAAAAAAAACGAGTATGAAATTAAAATAATCTTTTAATTATAATTTTTTCAGGTATTGGATTTAATTACAAACAATTCATTTAGATGTTTTGTGCTTTTGTTGTTGTTGGATTCCATATGAGCATCAATCAGTCAGAAGCCAAATATCATTGGATGGCCTTGTCCTTTCAAATTATTATTAGTTATTATTTTAGATAAAAATTAATTTGCATATCCCTTGTTGTCTTGTCATTACCTCTGCCAAAGTGGAATCAAGATTCTAAATCCATGTAGCACTTTAATTAAGTTCCCACCAAATATACAATTATGGTAAATGTGGCTTAAGCAATAATAATAAAGCATTATGTATTACTTTTTCTATATTCATGTAGTGGGTCAACTGATTAGGTTTTTTAGGTAGCTAACACCCTTAATTATGGCCATTATAAATAGTAAATACTGCACAATGTTGGTTTACATTGATTACAATGTGAATCTATTTTTTTTTTTTTTTTTGTCAAACGATACATTTTGTTAGATTAAATGTTAGATTTTCAAACTCACATCGTTATGCAATGACTCAACTCTTTCTACCACTGTGGTAAATGGCACTTGAGTGAAACTGTTTTATTCTCAATGCAAATCAATGTAGAATATCGTTTGTAATAAAAAAAAACTGAACTCAAATAACGACAAAATACATGTAATTTACGTGTTTAAGAACATTTTATATCGCATTTAAAGTTTTGTTTTCGTATTCTCCGTCTTCAACATCACTTGATAGTCGTACCACAGATGACATCGTCCTTGCAACTGACAATGTATGAAGCTTCCTCACTTTAGCATCCCCTTTTGCCCTATTTTATCCGAATTAAGAGGAAAAAGAAGAAAATTAAAAGAGAAAAAAAAAACAGAATGCGCCATAATTTACTAGGCACAAATAAACATCATCATCTACAACACAGCACAAAAGCAAAAGAAAAGTTTTAAAGTTTCTGCCACTTTTTCGGCATTGTATGTGTCATGTGTGGAGGAGCTTGGCCAAATTATAGAGAGTAACTACAAATTATACGATCATATAAATATCGTAACGTTTCATGCTAATAATATAATTTTATTCAAAAAAATATAAAACTTTAGACATATGAATATATTACGAAGGTAGATTCTTTGCCCTTCCACTTCCTTTGCCATTCTGTTTTATGTGGTCACAGTTAAGACATTTCAACATTTTATATTGTTTTTTATTAAGATAATAAGACAAAAAAAATAGTAATATAAAAAATTGATAAGACTTAACCGTGATCACACAAACAAGAGGAGACAAAAAGTGGAAGGGCAGATAATCTGCCTCCATATATTACTAGCACCATATTATAGGCTTTGATGATTGCATAAAACTATTGCCACCACCATATGCTTCCAAAGTCCACCTCCATCTCTCTCTCTCTCTCTCTCTCTCTAAGATTAGGATGTAGGGAGCAAGAGTCACCATTTGCATGTGAGTGTTGTGAGAGCAATGACTTTTGGTTGCCTCGGTCACAGTGTCCATAGAGATCCTCCAATCCAATACAGAAAAGCTACCTAATCAGGCTTTAATAAGGGAATCAAACACTCCCCCGAAAAAGGAACAAAAGAAATTATCCTTAACACAACCCCTAATCATTCATCCCCACCAATTTTTATCCCTCGCCTTTTCACTTTACATATCACTCTCACCACATTCAACTCCCTACAATTACCACGTTTACGGTATTTTAAATCGATCACGCACTGTCATTTTAAAAAGTTTAAACATATAACGGTGTACATAAAATCATAACATCATCACTATTTTATTTTTGACACGAAAACTTTTTGTGTTAGATTATCAGTGTCAGTGAATTATCCGGCCCATAAAATAGTGGCATCCAGTTTTTTGTGACTAGGTCGGACAGTTCATTTGATCCTGACGAAGACGACAGATCTGGGTAAATTTCTTTGCACATTCATACGTTATTAATCTAGGAAACAAGAAAAGGAAAACAAACAGAGAAAGAAGAAAAAGGAGGAATCCGGTGGGTCAGTGACCAGCGCCTTACAAGATACGACTAATTAACAGCAAAATCTAGTACTCGGTGCGTTTGCTGTCTCAATTGCTTCCCAAAGGCATAGAGATCCAAATGCCTCACGCCCCACCAACCGCCATTTCTTCTGCTTAAAGCTTTCCATGGCCCA